TGTTTTCCACTTACCAAACACTGTATTTTTTATCTTTTGGATTTGTGTAACTATTGTGATGTTGCTTGTAAAAGTGTTTAGAGGTTTTAAGGAGCAAAGCTGAGCATGCAGGTTTCATTATTGATAAACATTAAAGTTTTAAGATCCAGCAGGAAATACTATGTATTTTTAGGATTATAATCTTTGCTACTCTGCTTAGTCATAAATTATAAATGTCTCCTGAAATATTGATTCCATTAGAATCAGAAGACCTTGTGAGTATTGGGCTACAGGTTGATACCATCACTACATTAGCTGAAAGTGAGTATCACAAAGCTCAAATTCAATCTTGATGCATAAATGTCTTGTTATGAGAAAGACACTGGGGAGAGATACTATGTGGTGCAGAAAACCTTCACAGTGGGCTTTATTTGAAGTAAAAACTGGCTGTGTTTTCAATAGCTTAACTTTTTACTTAGGCTAATTGCTGTCAGTGTTATAAAACCAAACTGTACAGGTGCCAAACAAATTTAGATACAGAAGGAAATGTGATCAAATGCTTTCTGTTCTGAGGTATTTGATTCGGAAGGAGTAAGTGCAGTTATTTAGGTAATTTCAAGAGGTGCACTTATCTTTTAAATGCATAAAACATTACGAGGAGTCTGCACTTAAAAAGGATCTCAAATTCATTTAATCTTTCAGTAAAGAGCTAGCTTTCTCAGGTAAGTTTATTGTTGTCCAGTGTGTAATTGTATAGCTTAATATCCCATGTCAAATCACATGAAAGTTAATTTTATTTTTTTTTTTGACAATTAATGACTTGTGAAGAAACACTTTTTTCCCCTAGAAAACCTGTTTAAAAGTGTATCATGCTTAGTTAATTTAGGATACTAAGCCCCCACTTTTCCATTGTGAAAGAAGACTGGCAGAGTTTTCAGTCTTTGCGTGTAACCCCTTACATGCTAAAAATTTTAATAGCTGCTTGAAGAATAGCTGTTGATTCTGCAAATACCTATAGGAACATAATTCCTTTCATCTTCTTTATTAGGTGTTTATTGAGGCATAGTAACTTGACAACTGAACATTTTAGAGGTAGCTGGTTTGGATAGACTTGATAGAGCATTGAGGAAGCCTGGGATGCATGATTTAAACTAAATGGGTATAAAATAACATCTTGTTCTGCTACTGGTAGGTTATAACACAAGTTTTTATATCTGTAACACATTACTAAGAAGTTTCCTGCCACATGTTACTGCTGATACTTGGTGATGAAAATTACATTCAGAAATTGTAAGATTGGGTTGTATCTAACTTGAATTAACAAATAATTTAAAGGTCAAGGGAGTTTTTTAAAATTTATTTTCTGACGTATTTCAGATCCTATTTGATAAGGTATTTTATAAACTAAATCAGAATAAGTTTCTGGTAAATCAGATTAAAATTGGGATATATTGTGTAGTTTACTAAAAAAAAAAGTCTTAATGGCCGGCTGTAGACTGGACTGATAGATTGAAGGAATCAGTGACAAGCTATTGTACAAACAGCCTTGCACCAAGTTGTGAACAGATTTTAAAAGCATTACTTACTGTTGTATACTTAAAAATTGAGTCATTTTTGCACCCTTGTATTTTGCATTTTAAATTTCCTTTAAAGAACACTGCACAACTTGCAGCTATAGTGGGTGAGACTCCAGGTGGAGCTGGTGGGTTCAGGAGTATACAGGTACTTGAGTTGTTTGGGATCTTCGTGTTTAGCTAACAGTTCCAGGCATGGGAAGCTGGAGCACCTGCAGAGCAGCCCTGGGGACAGTCACATACTGAGGGAAAGCTTGCTTTGATCAACTGTTGTGTGTACTTAAATTCTTCAGCTTGGAAGCATGAATGATCTTGTCTCTACAAGGTTATTGCTTCATTTTATTTGCCTTTAGAGCTTAATTTCTTTGGCATTGCTAGACTTCTTTTCAGTGTCCTGCAGGTATGTACAATTTTAAAGAATAGCATGAATAGCCAAGAGCTAGAGCCTACATGCAAATGTTTGACAACTGAATACTTAGATTTACATGAAATGTAATTTAGATGCAAATACTTGTAAATCATAACTCTTTGAAGATGCAATTGACTGTGCTCTCAATAATTTAAAACGGGGAAGGTTTGCTAGTATTAACTTACATTCTTGAATTCATTCAGGAATAACATTCTTGAATTCATACAGGTGTTTAGTGTCTCTGGTTGTTATTATGTGTTATAATTTAGCTTGTTGTCAATGAAGAACACTTACCTATGAATTCTGCAAGAATTTACACGTTAATTAATACATTTCACAAACTCTGTCTTCCTGACATAAGGTAGAGAAATAATAACAAAAAAAGAAGCCTGTGTTTGTTACTTGCCTTGTTTCAGTAACACTAGTTCTACCTAATTCTGTTTAACGTGGGAAATGAAGTGTTCCAGCATGGTACCTTGTAACGATGCCTTTGTTTTTCATGTGTTTCCTTGTGGTACACTTTGGATAGAAGTATAGAGGGATGCTAATGCAGATGGAGAGAAGGGAAATTGAGTATCAGATCTAAATTTGGTGTGCTGAGCACAGCGCCTGTGCCCTGAAGTACTTCTAAAGCTTTCTTAAAACGTAAAGATGTGAAATTAGGTAAACTGAAAAATATGTGAGAGATGGTAATGGTACTTGCTGTCTATAGCTATGCAATTATCCCTTTAACTCCTTCTTTTCAGTTTGCAGCAGAATGCTTTTACGTAATAGCCGTGTTTACATTTTAATAAAGTTGATGAAGAGATTGGCCAGAGCCAATAGTCTAATAAAACAGTTTTAAAAGACCATCTCCCTTAAAGTTTTTTGGCTCTCTCAGTACCCCTCCTGCTGGAAGAATTGCTCTATGGGGCAGTGTTAGAAGAAAAATGTGAATGGCAAAATCCCTGCTTCTTGTCTTTTTGGGGAGACAGAAGCTGCTACTTAGCCTCGAGGGAGAAGAGTTGTTTGTAGAAAAATATGACTAAGTTAAAGTTGAGATTAGTCAACTTCCTTGCCCCAGATGTCTTCTGGGATCTGTTTCGCAGAATTCCCTTAACAAACAGTGGGTTATTTATCTAAAAGAAGAACGCTCTTTTAAAAGACTGTTTCAACTCTTCACCAGTTTCAGCTATGACTGGAATCAGGAATAGCTGTAAAGCAGAGTTTGCTTTACAGCTTTATTGGCACAAAGGCTTCCTTCCGCATTTGTTTCTTGCATAATCGAGAGGGAGCCAGACTTGCATCCCCTTTTCTGTCTTTGTAGAAAGAAATCTTTTCTGGAAGCGACGCGGGGAAGACACAACATTACACAGCACAAAAACCTGAGGGCTCTTCTCAGTGAATTTCAGGAAAACCAGGAAT